ATATCAGCTGTTATTTTTTATCATATTTACTTCATTCTGGCCCTATGAGGTGATTTATGCTGAAAGGTGGTACGGAATATAAGTTCCAACAATGACAAAATCATTCATTATGATTCTTTGAAATTTTTATCAATACTTGAAAATAAGTCCTTGTGATTCTTCATGTGCTATTGTTTTCTGCAAGTCCTTTCTTCATGTGCTAATGTTTCGATTTAGTGTCTCGATTTGGTCATCTCGAAACCCGCGGATAATGACATGTAACCTAATAATAGGCCCATATATCTGAATATACCCTTTGATTTATGTACATAATCTTTAAGGTTATGTTAGCCAGAAAGTATATACTTTTATTTGTAATAATATTATTACGAATTATGTTCGACAAATCCATGTGATCTCTTATTTGCTAGTTGTTTTTCTTGCCAGGTAATGACATGAATATCAGGTTTATTGCAGTAGGGTCATTTGAAGGCTATGTTGCTATAGTTGGTAGGATACAATTTTTTTTCCAATCACTCAAATTGTTTTTGTGCCTTAAAATCATTATAATGTTTGAAAGACAAATGCATGTGAATGTGATTCCTCTCTATATATACACGACTCGTTTTTTTTTCGATAATATCATTCAAGTTTTTCTCTGCTTTCATTCACTCTCACAATACTATCAAGAAAACTTCCCATTTCTACTCAGAAAAGGATTTAATGTAGTTTGTATACCGAAAAATGGCCATCCGCCAAATGCTGAGACGATCTTTATCCAGCGAAAAAAGATCGGCTGAAGTTCCAAAATGACATTTTTCCGTTTATGTTGGGGAAAACGAGAAGAAGAGATTTGTTATTCCGTTTTCGTATTTGAACCATCTTTTGTTTCAAAATCTGCTTTTCCAAGCTGAAGAAGAATTAGGGTTTTATCATACAATGGGAAGCCTTACAATTCCATGCAGTGAGGATTTATTCGTCGATCTAACCTATCGCATGGCTGCCAGGTGGTCTTCTCGATGCGTGCGGCCTCTGTGGCTGCGCACATCTTTCGGTCGCTCCAGTCTCACCTCAATGGCCAAGTCAGGCTTTAGATCCCAAACAAACACGCCAACTAGCGCCCCTTCTGGTCAATCGCAAACTCGACTCGCGATTAGTAAAAAATCTTTCTGATAGTCACACAAACTACCCACTTCCATAATGTGCGATAAGGCTTCATCGTAATCGTGGTAATTCGATGATCCAAATCGCGTAACCAACTCATTTTCGAAATTTTTCCAACGGATTCGAGTGTCCTCCTTTTTGTAAACCCTCGAAATCTATTGCCACCAAACATTCGCCTCCCAATTCGTATAGTAAACGGTGAATGTAATCCATACTGCTTTCAATATTTCGTTAATCTCAAAATACTGATTAGCGCGGCTCAACCACGAATCTTAGTTTGTCCCGTTACACGTGAATAGAATTAGTTTAGGTCTCTCGCTCATGCGCCTTTCCCAGTGATTTGAGCCTCATGAACGGTTATCACCATCCTCCGTGAACTCGCTATGAAACTCGGGCTCCTTTTTCGAATTAGTTGATTTGTGGAGCCGTCGCCCTCGACTTTCGACGGTTTGAAGTAGTATCCGCTTGATCCTGGCCACCACTGGATTGGTTGATTGTACGTCGTCGTTGATTCATCGTATACTCTCTTCCAACCAATCGATCATTTCACTGTTCGATACGATGATACAAGATCGATACTCCCTCAATGAAAGCACCAATGATAGAAATCATGTATCGTGGATTCAATTTTGTGAAAATCAACACTGATTGTCGTCAATTAACACAAGATTTTGATGCTCGAACGATACAAAAGAGGAACACCAGAGTTTTAAAGAAAGAAAAATAAATAAATTGCAACTATGGTAATGAGAATCTCCAAACCACTAAACAAAGCTAAAAAAGTAGGAAATTTGCAGCTTCCTCCTCAAGTCTTGCCACGCTGTCTTGCGACGGGCCTCGCGGGACAGGACGGGTTTGGCCCATCAATTATTAAAAATAGAACAAAAAAATATATATATATAAAATACCAAATTCCCCAACTCCTATTCACTAATCGCCCGAACTCCACCAAACCAAAAATTGCTCCGCCCATTGTCTTCCCTCCGCCTTCATCGTCTCCAAAACTCTCAGTCTCTCAGTCACCGGCCCTTTGCAATTTCGAACGGGTTCATCGCGGCGGGATTTCAGACGTATATCGGCCGCACCGCGCCTTTGCCATTTCAGACGACTCGAAGGTCTACATTCCTCTCGTTAGACTAGTTTACCGGCAGCTTGCAAGGTACTCGGTGACTTGTGAGTCCTTCCTTTGGTCTCTGACATGTGTTATCTGAACACTTTGTATTTTGATGATTTTTCTGTTCTATTATGGTTATTGATGGATGACAGAAGATAATTTTAGGAGGTTTTGCAATTTTGGCCTAGAAATTGTATTTGTTAAATTTCAGGCTCATATAATTGCCTATCCATATTCTGGAATTTGATCTGGGTTTGGAAGGTTAATTGCCTATCCATATTCTTGGTTGATGGTGGGACTCCTGAATAAATAGATGTTGGGTGTGATTTTACTGTAGAATTGGTTGTAATTTGGCTTCAAGTTGGCTTTGGAATATAATTTGGCTGGGACTTGTGAATTCTAATGTGAGTCTGAGAATTCCCTGCACTTGTAAAGTTGTGAATTCTAATGTGAGTCCGTGACTTGGCTGTGAATTCTAATGTGATTTGTAAGGTTGTAACTTGTGCATTTGGTTGTGACTTATTAATATATGAAGCACAGCCGCAATCCCATAGTTTTCTTTTTCTCCTTTTGAAGTTTTACAATCTAGATTGTCTCTAAGCAAACTAACCTCTATACTGCTTCAGCTACCCTTTCTTTTATGGTTTTCAATCGCCTTTGATGATTGTTCTTTGATGACTGTTTTTACAGAGAACTAGACTTTTCTCTTCACTGGATAAAGGTGGAGATCACTGGTTTTTAATTCATTTATTATTTGGCTGTCACTAAATTCATCGGGCAATTGATACCAAAAATCGGCCTTTTCAAAAGGAGCAAGCCAATCCTCTGCTTTAGGGTAACAAAACTGTTTACAATTCAAATATGGAGATGATAAATCTCTTTTGCAGCGAAAAGGGCTTGCAAGAGGTAACTTTAAGAATTTTAAGAGTTTTCAAATTTTGGACTCCTTTTCTTTTTCCTATCAAATCATTTAATTATTCTAGATTTTTTAATACAATTTATCCAGCCTGCCGGAATTCTGAGTTCTACTTGGATATGTTGATTGTCAGCTGAGTTGCTCATATGAATTTCACAAGTTTATATAGATTTCATACTTTTCGAAAGAATAAAATAAGATCGATAATTCATATTGACTCTATATAATAACTATAATTCAAAATTTTAAATAGTTTAGATACTTGTTTGTATTTGGATATCTTCTCAATTGAATATGGAAGATTGCTTTAATTTATTGACTTTTGTCTAATTGTGTAATGATGCCGTGTTTGCAGTTTTTTAGTTTAAACCCTCCAATAGCGTACAGTTTACTTTCAAGAGTACATCAAACACAATAGTTTAAGAGACAGGGTCGTCAAAGAAGTGTCTCTTTCTAGCATAAGAAAATTTTATGAATAGATTGGAACTTTTGGGTATGCATTAAAAAATGTGTTAAAACTCTTGAGGTAGAGCTTTGCCGCCCTTGTGGTCCTACCCGGCTCGATTCCGGATTAGTCGGTCCCCTCGGGGATTCGGAAACCGGAAGGTTCATTGTACCAAAAAAAAAAAAAAAATGACTTTATCCTCTCTATCTTGATAAAGAGAAAAAAAATGACGTTGGGATTTCACTATTCTTGATTAAAAGAAAAACAAATAACTCAATTTTATTACAAATTTCAAAACGTGGAGCTTTTATATAGTAGAAGAGCTGGTGTGCGTGTATCGCCAGAGAGATGATGCAAAGTATGGTCCAATGCTGGGCGTGCTTCTTTCTATAATTTTATAAATATTTTTAGAGATGTATTTAATTATTTATTTGGTTAAATAATTTTATAAATTAACCTTAAATTAAATTATATCATGATTACTTAAATAATTAAACATGCGTAAAATAATGTATTGATCTAGCTTACTGTTCAACAGACCTATTCTCGGTCCAACCAGTCAAACTGGCTGGACCGTTACGGTTTTCAATGCAGGCAACAATGAGCAATGCAATACAGTCCTACTATTTAAAACTCTATTTTGGTTAAACGTGTTGGAGCTCTTAGTGTGAAAAATCACGTGCAACTTGTTATCGTGTGTTTGCTTGACAGTGTGTTGGGAGATACCATGGTGATAATCTTATAAGCCGATTACCCGATGACATTCTCCTTATTATCTTATCTTTCCTCCCATTGAAAGAAGCTGGGCGAACAAGTGTTCTTTCTTCTTGTTGGAGAAACCTGTGGAGTTACACCTCACATCTCAACTTTGATGACTATAGTCGATGGAGAAGGTTATCCTGGCTTCAGAAATTCACAGTGTCAGTGTTGAGAGGGAAAAGTATGTAAGTGGGTGGATTCGGTTCTCCAATCACACCGAGGGTCCACTGTGAAAGAATTAAGAATATGCTTTAGTTTAGTCAAATCAGCCACAAAGTCAATTACGAAGTGGCTTGAATTTGCTTTTGAGAGGCACATCGAAAAGTTGGAGTTGAACCTTTCAGATGGTGACTGTGGTCATCTCCCACATGAAATGTACGCGTTTCCTCAAGAGTTATGCAGTTCAGACCATCCTTACAAATCTAGTAGACTTTTCAACTGCAAGTCCATAAAAATGTTGTCCTTGGACTGTATTAATATCTCTGGTGAAACTATTGAGTTTCTCTTACGTGGCTGCCCATTGCTTGAGCAGTTAATTGTCCGTGCCTCTGATAAATTGACACGTCTTGAAGTTTGTGGACCATCCCTTGTATTAAAGCATTTGGAGATATTGATGTGCAGTTATTTAAAATCCTTAAGAATTTCTGCTCCGAATCTATCTTCACTTGTGCTGTATAATATACGAGGCGTCTTGCTTGAGGATGTTCAAATGCTTACTAGTGTTAATGTGACCTCTGTGGAGCCTTCTTCTACGTATGTAGAGAGATTAATTCCTACATTGCTTTGCTGTCTTTCCCAATTGGAGATTCTCACCTTGGACATTTGTAGTAAGAGGGTAAGGTGTCTTTCTGCATTGGTTTAATTTTCAGTTAATGGAGCTTAGTGATTGTAAAGTAAATATAAAACTTGATACTGGAGCCCTATTGTTGATTTGACAATCATCACGTGGTTAAATTTGTTGGCTCATACAAATGATTGTCAAATCACCAGTACTAACATGAAATTATTTGGAAAATAATATTTATTGGACGTTTTTCTAAAAGAAAGAAAAAAAAAAAAAAAACTTTATTTATTTGTTATTGCAGGAGCTTCTATCGATGCTCAAATTCCCCATGATGCCTAAACTTAAGAAGTTGGTCATCACTAAAGTTTTACGTGGTGTGGACTCGAGTCTTCTTGGCCTGTCTCATTTTATCAGTGCATCTCCCAACCTGCGAGAATTTGAGATACAGGTTGGTCTTTGTAAATATTATCCCTGCTATCTCTTCATCATTGAATGGCTTTGCTACCTGTATTTGTTGTCTTATATTATTTATAGGTGTTAACTTAGTATATGAACTTATTTTATTTTCACTTTATATGGGCAGCAAAGGTGGTCTAAAGTTGAAAGGTCAAACAACGAAATTCAGAAGGGATTGAAGCACTTCCCACTGCACCAGCATCTGAATGTTTTTCGGTTTTTAGGTTATTATGCTTGCCCGAGTGACGTTGAATTAGTCAACTACTTGTTGGAGAACTGTGTCACGCTTAAGGAAATCATTGTTGATACCCAAACTCCTCTACGTTCGGCCTACGAGCCACTTGATCCTGAACAATTAGAATTGGCTGAAATAGCAAAGGGTTACGCAAAGCAGCAGCTGGAGCAGTTAGTACCTAACCACATTAGCTTATTTATATGCTAACCATTTCTGTGTTTGGTTTCGCGTTTAATACTCAGTTAGTATAATGGCAAAGGTAACGATGCTAGATAGAATTCGGATGGGTCGGCATTGTGCCAATATGTTTGATATCAAAGAAGTTTCAAAACTAAAGTATTCGGGTTTGATTTTCAAATAACAGTAAACATGAAGGGGATAACAGTAATATTTTTTCTCTATAAGGGGACTTTGCTGTTAAGTTCTGTAATCAGCTATGT